CAGGCTGGTTTAAGAGTTCCTTCCAATTTATCTTCCTTTCGCAATTCCAACTCGGGGATTTATTTGTGCACTGAACAATATATGTGGGGACTTATATGCATATATTATTAGATCCAAAGAAACAAAAGCAGGGAGTTACATTTCCAAACAGTACTAGCCTAACAAACTAGTCACGGACTCTCACACAGCTGGCATGTGTCAGCAGCCAAACTCTACACGCGGTTACATTCATATAACCCCACCCAAATCAGCATAACTGAGAAACTGGCCCATTGAATAAACTTGCACTGTCTCAGCCTTGAGCTGCAAGAGCTGGCCAGAATATCTGTACATGAGCAAACATTACCATTTGTACATTTTAAGATCAGTTATGTGTTGCATACTCCTCAAACAGCTATTATTCTAGGACTCTCGTAGATTACTCATGGAACACTCCAGAAGTGCATCTACACTGCAAATGCAAATACCTCAAATTTCATTTGCCTGTGCTCCAAGCACATACGAGGCCATGTGCACCCTCACGAGTCAGTGCAGCACCGAGTCCATGCTAATGGGATGGGGTCTGGACTGACATCACCTGCCTATTAGCCCTGTGCTGAGCAGTTACAGCTTCTGCTCAGCTACATCTATCCACTCAAGCGCTGCCACATTGGCTATATCTGTGTGCAATATGTGATAGACAGGAATCCTACATATCCCAGAGACATTCTGCTCTGAGATTGTCATTTTCTAACCCTCTTTCCAGGGATGAAAAACCTAGTGCAGGGGGTGGGGAGGACGGAGAGCCAAAATTCCTAACAGAACTTTGGAGCCAGCTTCTTCACTAAATATCATCTGGCTTCACTACAATGCCTCCCACCACAAGAGTCTGGCTGCAAAGAATGCTGTCTCTCCAAAGCTCAAGGCCTTTACTCAGGATTTTTCCAATTGTATCTGTCATTTTGGATGACTGGTGAAATTGCTTGAACTCTCAAGACACTACAGTGCTGCTAGAAAAGTCAGGACACTGGCTGAACTCAATAGGGAGGTGAATAGGGTTGGATAGAATTTACGGAGCAACTACCACAGTCCGGCATCAGCATCTATTGCCTGAAGTGTGGGATATGTGCTATACTAATTTTACCTATGTGCTATACTATTTTACCTATCTTCAATTTCCATATCAGATAGTTTTTTGTAATAGCAGAACCCAGAGCTGACAAACATCCTGCATCCAAATAGCTCAGGCTCCCATTTATTGGAGCAATCAAAGAGGCTGTGGCAATGCCTAGGCAGGTACTGCATTTCATATTCCAGGGTGGCAATGTTCTTTCATTTCAGATAAAACACAGATGTATATTAAACTCTTCCTCCAGTTCTACAAATAGCTCTGTTTGGAAGAAAGAAAATTATTCTCATTCATTTGCTGTTACCTCAGTTTTTTTAAAAAAAAACCTATGAAAGACAAAAATCAGCCAAAACTCCTCTGTTTTCAGAATACAGCAATGGTAAAATACACTGAGTGTTGGTTTTACTCACCTTAGTTTTCACTACAGCTGTTCAAGTAAATCCTTTCTCAATGGCTTATTAATTGCAAGTTAGATTATTCTCTTGAATTCTAACATCCATAGACTCGATTTTACAATATCAATGGGAATACATAAAAGCCACACAGTCTACAGGATAAATGAATTAGTACAGTACCATTATCTATTTACCAGCCACCAGCTGCACTCACACATACTTGCACTGCAGGTGTCCAGCAGCATTTAAAGCAGAAGAAAGCTTCATTTCTCTACTTGTAATCATACTGCACAATCTAAACCACACATATTATTTAAAAAATCTTTCAAAGAGTGCTATGGAGAAAAAAAAACCCAACCCAAAACCTGCTTGATAATTACTATGTCTGTGTTTAATAGGAAAACACAAGTTTCATAATATTAAGAGACATTTCCTGCCAGCATTGGTGACACCCTGGAGCTCAAGCTTGTGCAGTCTGCCAGTCACTGTAGGTTCTACTCTCGCATCATCTTCTGCTGTCTTTGAGGTTTTGTCCCCAAAGAACAACCACAAAAGCACTGTTTCAACCATGGCTTACCTATAGCAAACACATTCCTCACCCATTTTAAGGGAAGAGTAGCAGCAAAGGTAGCTGTCAGCACACAGCCTTCCCCATTCCTAAATAAGGAATCTGTATTTCCATCCTCATCAAACACAACTGCTTGGCTCATTGGCCTCTCAGATCAAGTGGTCCATGAGTTATCTTACTTTTAAGTTTGCTCAAACCCATCATGGACAGCATTACACATTGCTAAAAGCCCCATAAGGTACACATTCAATAGCAAAAACATTTTTGTGATCATGAAAAATAAGAGACTGAGTCACCATCATTGTGATAGAGAAAAATAAGACTACAGGCTTTTGGGACTACAGTTAACTGGTAGAAATTCCTGATTTAATCAGGCACCACTTTGGCAACTGGTAACTTAGGTGGCTTTCTGCTAGTTGGCCTATTGTTTTTTTTCTGAAGGCTACCATGAGAACAGGAACCCCAGAAAGTGGTCTGTAACTGTCTGTGCCTTTCCAGGGAACATTATACAGCCATCAGCTCATTTGAATGAGCTCACATTTGAAAAAAGGGTGGGTTTTTCACTTTATTGATGCACTCTTCCATACAGGATTTTTTCAAAATCTACATCAAACAAGGAAAAACAAATGCTGAGAGGGCAGATTTAGGGCAATTTATCAAGGTCTGGGAAATAGCTTCCAGATGGATAGAGCTGTTTGGTGTTGGCTGGTGAGAAGGAAGCAAGGTATTGTTATTGAATTAGCATGAATCTCTAGTGGAGAACTGTGTGGTAGATAGAGTGCTCCTTTCATATGGTTTGCATTTGGACCTGTCATATTTCATTTTTATTCAAAAACCTGTGGTAAAGACATGCAGTTCTTTTTTGCTTATTAAATTTCCACCAATTCTCCCTGTACTGTTATCCAGTCGGTATTTTTAAACTCTGCTCTAAGTGCCATGTCTGGGTCTGTTTGCTTTTTGCCATGCCTGGATGACAGCTTGGTGCTTACAAGCTCACAAGTGGTTTTAGGTTTTGCAGTCACACACTGAATGTTACCTGAGAAAGTGTGTGAGAGAGAGGAAAAGCTGGATGCTCTATGAGATGTTTAAACTGAGTCACTTCAAGAGTTTAAAACCTTGCTAAATAAAATGATACATACTTAGGTCTCATGCACACTAGAAAGTGATTGCTAATGTAACTTGAGGATTATTCTTGATTAGCCTTGTTAATAAATCCTCCCTTTGTAAACATGTCTTCTAGCAGTATGAATGCATCTATACTAGTGAATTTGCTAATATTGTAATATACATGTAACTTTACGAAATACTGTAAAAAACCCAAACAAAAAAAACCTGCACAACAAAAAACCAAAACAAAATAAAAAAACCCTAAGGGTAAGAAAAGAGATATGCTCATAACCAACAAATTTCTACTTTGAATAACCTGGATACCTGTTCCATGATACGTGCTTTATAGAGTAATTAATACACAAAGATTTATGTATTTTCTTGCAAAGACAAATCAGTTGGCACCAAGTATTTAGCTTCAGTTAAATGAATTTTGAAAATGAGGTCTTTTAAGATCCTACAAAAGTTGCTGGTTGATATACCAATACGTAGAAGAATTTTAATGAGAAGAAATTTCCAATGACTTTTTCATTTATTTAGGAGAATTGCTATTATTCTTGAGTACTAGGTGTGGGGGTACTGGGGTGAGATAGAAGAAATGAGCTTTACATCTTTTCCAGTGTTTCAGGGATCTACCACAATTAGTCTGTTGCCATCTGGGGTGTATCCTAGGCAAACAGAGAAGGGAAATGGGGATATCATCAGCACCAACTAACTCCTAAATCCTACCTGAAATGTAAGACATGGATATTTGTGCTTACTTCCCACACATATATGTGGTTTTGCCCTTCTTTTTTTTTCCTTATAGTTCTTATTACTCTGTGTTTTATGAGCATCTGCTTCAACTGACCAAGACTCTGTAAGAAATATCCAATGATGCAAATAAAATCACAGTCTACAGGATACAACCTACTTCTTTGGCTGTAACATCTGATCTCCCCCAGGCTGTGAACAGATCATATGCCTCATTTATTACTTATACTTAATCCTTCAGCTACTGACTACTGAGATAGGTTTCCAGTTATATCAACTCTGAAACAAAGTCTTTGTAGCCTTAAGCTCTCATGATGCAGTGTTCACAAAGGGAGTTATACACCACTACCAAAGAAACTGCATTACTCAATGACACAATTTTCCAGTTTTCAAATGTGTTATCAATAAACTGACCCTGCATTCTCATAAAGTTTGGCATCTACAGGATCTCACATTTGCAGATTGCTCTATGAACATCAGTGCTCAGAAGTCAAGAGACAGCTGAGCTAGTGGTTGTGTCTGATCAGTTATCACCTTTCTGCTAAACAGTCTGTGTAAGATGGATGTGAAAAAGCAGGTAACACCATTCTGTCCCCATGGACTAAACTGGCCCTTAATTCTCATCTGAACTACCTCCTCTTTGGCCTGGAAGCCTAGGAAATGGTTATCTTGCTGCTAGCAAAAGAAAAGACGTTAAAAGGAATTTAAAATCAACTTGCTATTTCATACGGATATCTACATCACAGAATCAGAGAATGCCTAAGGTTCGAGGCAACCTCTGGAGATTGTCTAGTCCAACCACCTTGCTCAAAGCAGAGTCAACTAGAGGAAGTTGTTCAGGATGATCTGTATAGTCACAGAACAGCGAGACAGACAGAAACACCTTTCTGATTGCACAGGATAAAATTTGTAGTGGGGTGCAGCTGAAAGGTCACACACAATCTCCTTGAGTAAGGGATCTTTTGAGCTCAGTTGCCTATAAAATTGACTTTTCACGGTGCAACAATTAAGAAAACAGAAGGAATGGGGAACGCTTTATTGCTTTTCATGTTGTTCACTTCAGTCGTACCTTGAAGCCAAAAGAACAAGTGCATTGATAAAACTCCACTGGATCATTGTTGCATGTCCCATTGTTCTTACATGGATTGGAGAGGCAAGGGTTACACTTGGACACAACACTGATATCTGCTGGCTCTGCAAAGGCAAAACACAGTGTATTAATAGAGAACTGGATTACAAAATTAATACTTCCTGTACTCATACATATATTTTTTCCTAATGCAGTATTCACCTTGCATTGGCACAAATGCACATGCTGCAGGTGCAACTTTACACAACAGCATGGGTTTCCCAGGGATCAGAGAGGTTTTAAGTACTTAAGTGCTAGGTAAGTCTCAGTGATGCTTATATTCTCCTGCACATGCAAACATCAGCTCTGAAAAACGTGTTGGGAATCTCCAGAGAGTGCACTTACATACACAAGGCTTTCAGCAATTCTTCCTTCTCTCAGTGCTGGAAATTCTGCAATAGCAACCTCTAGGTAACTATAAGATGACATTTCTATGGCTGGTAACAAGAATGAAAGTGCAGATGCAACAGCAGAAATAAAAAACATGCATAAAAAAGATCTAGTTAGAGGCATATGGGAAAATTTAGGTGCAAAGTGTTCTACCATCCTTAATTTTAACAGAGTTCAAAACATTTTCTTCCTGTTATGCCCAGAAGAATGATTATCAATATCTAGCTATCTCAGAGACAAATACACAAAGATGTAAATAAATGCAGGTAAATATACATGGCCATATTAAAAACATTTAATAATCCACATTTTTTAACTGAACTCTTACAGAGAAGTAGTGATGTTTGTAAGTGAGCAGGAAAATGAACACAGACCAAACCAGTACTAAGTACGTTTGGGGTACCAAGTCAATCAATATTTTATTGTTGAGATTTTACAGAAAGCTAATTTAGACAGTTATATTTATAGTTAAAGAAATGGTGATTTTTAAATGGCTACATTTCAAATATTAATGAGTCAACAGCTTTTACACATAAAAAATAAAACATATTACTTTAAAAGGGCTTAAATTCTATCAGGCAGAAAAGATCCTAAAAAAGTTTTATCTCATTTTTAAAGAAATAAATTTTAAAATAACTTAAAACTGGCTCTGTGCTAATTAGAAATGGGCAGTGAACTTCTGTTATTGCATGATAAATGATAAGAACGAGTAAACTGTGAAACAGTCCTGAAGAAAAGAAGCCTATACTTGATGTTAGAGAGAAGATGGAGCTCTAGAAGGTTACCAAAACTAAGGATAAAAAAATCCCTTCCAGTCAAGGATTTCATAGAATCAAAGAATCACAGAATGGTTAGGGTTGGAAGGGACCTTAAAGATTTGCTTTGTACTGACCTGTATGAGACATAAATCTTCATTATTAACTTTGAATACTTGCACAGCACCAACGGGGGTAAGAACATGACAGAAATGGGTACCAGGGAGTCTCAGCTGAAAAGCACCTGTAATGTAAAGGCTATATCCTGGTCCTATACTGATGGTGGTGTTATCAGAGCCACTGATTGCAGAGTCCAACATGCAATGGTCTGTTAACAGGGCACAGCTGACAGCAGAGTTCAACATGCTGGAGGAAATGTAATGAGGAAAAAATACTCAAGAAGTAACAAATAAAAAAAAAAGAAATAAGAGATTGTTGTCATCCTCTTTATCTTTGCATTTATGTCTAACTAAATGCCATACACGTTTTTAAGTTGGAGTTAGGACAGCAAGAGGAAATAACATCTAAATTTCTGGCACTGACAGCAAGTGGAATGTGACATATCTGATCTACTTTTGTCTTGAAGGTAGAATATATGAGCACTATAGGAAGGTAGTTCCTCAGAGAGCTCATGAGACAGGCAGCAGTGCTGCTCTTCTAGATTTAGAGGTCACTAAGCCAGAATTTGTTATATTATTTATTTATTTCATAATACACATGCGTACAATTTCCCTTTATTCCTATGGCATAGATCAAAGTTGATAAATGTAGGAGCTAATAAGAACAGTGTTAGTTCCTAGCAGTTAAGTACTTCATTAGTTTGCCCTTGTGGATTTGATTTATAAATCCACATAGCAAAATGCCCTCAGCCCAGCACATTCCTTTCCTCCTGCATAACTAGGAGGGCAATTTAATAAAAAGCAGAGCCCAGTTTGCATGACTTGCACATTACACACTTTTATTTTCTTGGCTCTGCTGAGACATAACCTTCTGCTCAGTCACAGGCCAGAAACACAATTTTAACAAGAACACATTGAACTACTTTTTCTTTTTTAATGTAAAAGTTACTGGAGGTCACACAGGACACCTGTGCACAACCTTTGTACAAGTATTTCAAGGTACCAAGCTCAGCATGGGCTGACTTCTGCAGCAATGACTCAGGCTTTTAGGGGAACAGGGGGTTCAGCCCACCTTGAGCTCCACTTGAGCTAGGGCTGAATCTACGGATGTGGAAGTACAGCCATATCCCTGGACACTCTGTGTCACCCCACAGACAATCTCTTCCTTCTGCTGACAAGCACATATCACAGCTACAGCTCAGCAATGAGAAGGCAATGCAGCTGCAGGACAAACCCTGGCCACACCATGCCCTGTCACAGGCCACGCACTTGGCTCCAGCCCAAGGGTAAACCTGACGTAATAAATCCTGTTGCTTTACCACAAAAGAGTATCACCAATTTAAGCTCAATATAAGTGAACAGTGTACTGCAGCAGCAAAGAAAGCCAACAGGATGCTGGGTTGCCTCAACAAAGGCATCACCAGCAGAGATAAAGAAGTTATTCCACTCCACTCAGTGCTTGTCAGGCCACACCTGGAATACTGTGTCCAGTTTTGGTTAAAAGAAGGGCCACAAAGATGATCAAAGGACTGGGAAGCCTGACATACGAGGAGAGGCTGAAACAATTGGGTTTGTTCAGCCTTGAGAAAAGAAGGCTCAGGAGCAACCTCATCACCATGTTCCAGTACTTATAGGGTGGCTACAAAGAAGATAGAGACTCCCTTTTTACAACAAGTCACATGGAAAAGATGAGGGGTAATGAGTACAAGTTACTCCTGGGAAGATTCCGATTGGACACAAGAGGAAAACTTTTCACATTGAGATCAATCAGCCATTGGAATAATCTCCCCAGGGAAGTAGTGGGTGCTGGGCCATCTTGTCTAGACTGTGCTTTTGCCAAGAAAGGTTGAACCAGATGATCCTTGAGGTCCCTTCCAACCAGGTATTCTATTCTATGTCCAGACAGAATAGCACAAGGCATTGGATCTTAAACATGCACATGGGAAATGGGTTCAGTTAGACTACCAAATTATGCATTGTTTTCCAAAATACATGTATTATGATGAGAAAAGGTGATTTTTTTCTAGGGTTTGGAGCTTCCTGGAGTATACTCCCACTTGTCTAGACCATCAACAGTTTCTGCTTGTGGAGACCATCCTGAATCAATACTTGTTTCTCCTTTTCTATTTAGATGAAGGGAGCTATGGAGATAGTTGGGATAGTAGAAAACTCACCAGCTTTCTAGTGGACCAAACTAATACATAAAATACACAGCTGTTTTTAATAGTCTAGATCATAGGTTTACTTATCTCTTGCCTAAGAGTTTCTTGCTTTGTTTTGAGAAAAAGTGAGTTTAACTATTGATATATCATGGTTTCAGAATGAAGAAGTCATCTAGCCTCTCTTTCTGGACTAATTTTCAGACCCTGTTTAATACGCAAATACGATCATTTTCTTTGTTTCACTTCATGTGAACAAGTACATTATTTGGTATTTTTAATATTTAGGGTATTTGTACTTCACATTTGGAAGACTATTATAAAGTCTGTAGTTTTTTATTTTTTAGGCAGAGTTTCGATAGTTTTGAGACTGACATTTCAAAGTAATTAAATTATAAGGTTACAGTTATTAAAAATATATTTGAAAGGACACGATATTCAGCTCAGGCTTGGGAACCTCTGTTGTAAACCCATCTCAAGACCATCATTTGTTTGTTCAGCCGTTTAATCCCAGCCTCTATAAAATCTCACTGCCAAGCAGTACAGTAAACGTGCAAGGCACTCTGAGAAACATAAAAACAGGCTTTATGCCCTCATTTCCATTTCTAAGAGAGGCTACTGACCCATCTTTTCCACTATAAATATAGCTCCATCTTCACATACTTGCTTAACTTATCAAAGTGATTCTCTAAAACTTTTTTTATAATGAGAACATACAGGTATATCCTAACCTACATTCAGTGATAAGCTTCTTACTTTAGCCACAAAAAAGTGTGCTCCTTATCATTTGTTTAAGTGCTCTCTAGTGCAGCATACTCCTATCCTTGACTACCTCTAATTATTACTAGCTGCACCTCAACCCTCTGCTGAATGATTGTACACTGTATTCAGATGTGAAATATTTTCCATAATCTACAGTTTCTGATAAAGATCTGATGCAGACAGTTTGCAGATCTTAAAATGAAAATGTACTTTTGGTAACTATTTGCTTTCCAGAAGAATTCTCAGTTTCTCAGTGTTCAAGTAAATGTGCATAATAACTATAGAGTGCTCTATATTCTTAAAGTAACTCTTATTTTACCAAAGTTTTCTAGGGTAGGTATAAGGCCAAAACAAATGTATTTGCTCAACTAAGTTCTAACAACTTCCTATATGCTAACTTGCCATTACATAATCTGGTGCGAGCAACAGGAATACTAACCCTCCCGAGGTTTGCTTGTTTTCCTTCCAGTGGTCCAGTTAACCGCACTTTGTGGAAGAACACTTGAAAATGTAACTTGAATGTACTGTGATGATTCAGAAAATGAAAGCTAAACTCAACTGCCCCAAAAACAAACTTCAAAACCAAACCGCTTCTAAGAGTATAAAAAAAGTACTGTACATGAGGAAAAGCAACAGGACAGAGCAGAGAGCCTCCCAGCTTGCTCCTACCTTTGCACTGGAAGTGGTGAGTTGGTGTTGTGAGCAGCAGCCTGTCCACCATGGCGTCAGGCCCGCTGCAGCGGGCTATCCCTGGCTCTTTGTACCCTGCCTTCACCCACTCGGAAAGCCAGCGGAGGTTGCAATCACAGTGCAAAGGGTTGGTACCTAGAGCCCTAGTGGTATAAAACAACAAACAGCGGTTATTTTGGTTTGCAAGCAAAGATAACATCCCTGATCTCATTGAGACAGGTTTTATTCTACAATTTTACAGGAATGCTTTACTTCAAAATGTGGGAAAGATCATGTGAGCATTCAGGAAGTCTTTTAGATTTATCTCCTCCAGTGTTCCTACTCTTCTCCTTTCTTCCTGTCATTAGTTAGGGAGGTTGTATAAATACCTAACAACAAATCACTTTTTCAAACAATTGAAAAAGCTTGAGCAATGTCACCAGACGTATTGTTTTCATCAAATTTATCACACTGGTTTCTTTTATTTAAGTCTTTGGCTTTCATGAGCATATTCTCACAGTGAATTGTATAACTGAGTTTGGACACAATGACTCATGTTAATGTCTCCACACAGAGAAAACCCCTGTTGTCAAAACTGCAACCTGGTGTATGCTAAGTTTGTTTATGGCTTTTAGATACATTCACGGAGTGTAATTATAACTCACAGGAGATCTATCCAAAAGAAGCCAAACATTTTTACCTTAAATATAGGTCCTGCCTTGACACATTTATACTGTTTTTTCTCTTAAAGAAAGTGTCATTTCAGGCAATCAGTCCATTACAAACAAAGTCCAGGCTTCAGAAAACTCAATTTACAAACCATTATTTTGAAAGTGTGAAGAAATGCATGTTGGAATTCTGAATTTATTTCACTGAAAGTAAATGTAATGCTTTAGCTGTAGAACACCTGAACTGCCATGGGAAGAAAGTTAACTAAATAAAGATTAGCATAGGGAAGAGATACTAAAGAAGCCCATAATTAAAATTGGGGTTTAGATTTTACTATTTCTGCATATGTTATAAACTATTTTTAAGATGGTATTTTAAACTCAAGCTTCTTTCAAATAAAAACATATTAGACAGGATATTAAGATAGAAACCTCAGTAAATTTGTTGATACATTTCTATTTGTGTGACTAATGAACCCACTGTGCCCTAGACAGATTCATTATGAGAGTTCATAGGTTCAAACCCTGTCTAGGGCTCATTCATCACAAATGTGTACTGCAGCACAGTATTAAAAAATATCCATCCATTCCTTCTGTAAATCCATTGCTTACAATGGAAAAAAAAAAAACTACTGGGTTGACTTTTTGACCCTGTAACTGTGATCAACTGGCTCACTTGTCCAAGGTCAAACAAAATGCAGCAGTGAAAGTTGGACCGAAAAATTAACTTTAGTGTTGAGCAACTGCCATATATAAAATGGGAGTGGGAGGACAACAGAAAGCTAGATACCATGATAATTAATCTTTATAAACTACATTAGAAATCAAGCTGCTCTATAGACACTAGAAATAATTACCAATAACATTGTTGTACAACTGCAGAAATTATCACATGTATCTTTCTGTTCTTTTGTTCATGGCTTTGTTTTGTTTTTTCTTCATTTCTAGGAACTACAGTGAATTCTTGTATTTTCATTCATGAGTTCTAACCTACTCTATTTCTTTGCTCGTTATAGCAAAATATTTCCAGAAGGTAAAAATATCTTGTGTTGTAATGAAATACTACCAGCAGCATTTTCAAAATGTTGTGCAGATACTTCTCTTCAGACACTTTTTTTTTTTTTTTTTTGAGGTAACAGATTAAAGTAAATTAAAATAACTCTAGCCATGATAACGTGGAGAAACAGAGGAGGGGACAGCTTATTTTTATAGGTAACTAACATAAATGGGAGTAAAGAGGAGATGATTCAATAGGTATTGGAATCCGAGCTCTTTACTGAAAATATGTGTGAGAGCAATACCTGCTGTACACAGCACCCATTACCAGGGGTTTCTTTGTGGAGTCCCCGGAGTGCTGAGGGGACAGTGTATGTGTGGGCAGTACTTGGCAAACTGGATCAGTTACAGTTGTGTGTATCAGTGAATGGTGAGGACAGCAAATGCAGGAACTGACCTGACTGACAAGGTCTTTGTTCTACTCCTACGGATTTTGGATTCTTTTAAGTATTAATATACATGATTCTTCAGTAGTGCTGTAATGGTTTGATCATTGCCCTGGACTAAACAGGTCAGTAAAGTCACTGCTTAAGTAGACAATTATATGATTCAAGTAAATAAAGTAATAAATAGTAAATAAAACCAGTGTGTGTACCATATTCAAACCTCCCTCTGTTTTTAGTGAGGTGTATCAGCTACATACTTTGTTATAATAGTTACATTACAAAAATATGATGTTTACAATGTAAAGAAAATTTGGTGAACATTTTCTTGTAGGCTTTAAACAGCTATGGAAAAACTGATTGAAGTTGCTAGATCTCAGTTTTGTTCTTCCAATTACAGATGTTATTACAAAAGTTATTACAAAAGTCTCTGACTAAAATCAGTGTTTTGTCTATGCTACACAAATATTTATTTCTAATTCTAAAGGTTAATTTGATATCCTCTCTCTCTCTCCCACCCCTCCAAACTGAAGGCCAGGCTGATCACCCTGCTCAACACCTTGGTAGTCAGCTTTCTCCAGCCATAATACCTATTCTACTCTTAGTCACACAGCTTGTAAATTTAACATAAAATTTTGCTAATAAAATTTTAACATAAAATTATGAGTGCGATGTGTAGTAACCCCTTGTATCATTTTCAAAATTATTCCAAGTGCATTCTTTCAGTAAGAGCTCAAAATGAATTTATTTTCAATTATGTATGACTTCGTTTGAATAAACACAGCACTTTCTGCCATACGAAGAGCAAAATCATTGTGGTTGCTAGAAGTTTCAGAATCCTTTTTAAGAAATTGGAGAGCACAATTGCACTGTAACATTCAGTTGTTCAACTGTGCAAATTACACCCCAGACAGGTCTTATTTGTTTTATGGATCCTATTTATTACTATTCATTTGAGCTTTGTGTATGTTACATTTCTGGCAGCACTTATATCTGAACTGTAGTGATTGCATTGGGCCAAAGGGGTTTTTATCACTCCCTAAGGTGAATGGTTTACCCAGGAAAATTGTATCTGCACTTCATTTAAAGTAAATGCTGAGGAAACTCCAAACAAATGGGGCATGATATGTTTATCTCTTGAGTTCTAAAAATACCCTCAGAAGTCAGATTCCCACTATGGGAGGTGTCACTTCACTTCCAAAAGGAGATACAAAGCTTCAGCTCAGTCAGACTTCCATTCCAAAACAACATACAAAATGACCTGACTATACTGGGAACATGATGGAGATAAACATTCTGTGCAAAATATATTTTCTCTCACTTAGATACCAAGGTGTAAGCATGAAACAGAGAAGGTTTTTTCTCAGCTGAAGTTGAAATTGCCTAAATTGCTCACATATGATTTCTGTCCCTACTAATCTGAGATATCTTTATTTTTTATTATCCAGAGAGAAACTGAGTCAGCTGTTACACAGAAGTAAATAGTCTGAGGACACATTTGCAATCCAGAAAATAGGTTAAGTATGAGTTGAACATTGTGTTCAGTTAAGTGTTCTGAAGGGCATGTTTAAGGTTGCAAAGAAACAAACAGAGATATAAAACCTACATTAAGTGCACACATATCTGTTTGTATAGAGTCTCAATGTGTGCTTACATCAACATCAACTCAGGTGTATGAGAGCAGCATCAGAGCAGAAAATACCTGTCATATCAAGTTTGTGAAACTACGTCACTTCACAAAATGACCAAGACACACCCAACCCTCCAATTACTTGAGGACAGTAATCAAGAAGCATGCTACACAAAATTACTGTTCCTTTACATCTATTGTCTAATAATATGAAGTATCACTCATTATTGCAGTGAAAAAACATTTTCTGTTCACTCTTTTGGCACCAAGTCTTACATTTCAGGTTTATTTTGTAAAATTTGCAACTATTTGTTTTTACAGTTCTTTCATCAACTGAACTGCATTTAAAAATATCCTAGACCTCCACCAATACAATAGTAATTTCCTGAAATATCTGCAATGTCTAATAGTTTTTGCAAATTATGAAATGAAGTATTAATGCTGTGAAATGACCAATTTCCATATGATTAAATATATGGCTGAAGTAGTGATTCATCAACAAGTTCATATACTGACAACATTTCAGTATGCAAAACATATGACACTTATTAAACAAAGAATTCACATTTGCTTAATATTTGCACTTTGTGGGAGGTTTCCTGTCTCACTCTCAGACCATAACAAACTCTGCGTTTCACATAGACAATGCTGAAAGAAAGCCTTAAACACAAAGTCCGCAGAAGAGGAAACTGTCACATTTGCTCATTTGGTTTTCCTTAAGAAAATATTTTGTTAACTAATAATAACAGGTTCTAGTACTTTTTTTATTTCCTTTGAACATATGCACTATGAATATCCAGAGCAGACTATGGAAAGTGAGCAGGAAAAACAGAAAAGCTATACAATCTTAAACTTGTAATAATAAGTACTGTTTTATAAATCTGAAACTGTCAATCAAACAGATGAACCCAGACAGAAGTACTTACAGATGGGACAGGGACACCAGATCATTGAAAGAACCTTCAGGAACACTGGAAATATCATTTCCATGGAGTGTCCTAGAAGTGGGGAGAAGGAGGAAGGTATCAAACCACAGTACTTTATCTGCTCCCCACAAGTGATTTTGTTTCTTTAAGAGTTTCTAAGAGCTTCACAACTCATAAGCTTCCATGTTTTATTACTTCTACTTCTAGATGTTGGCATTTAAAATAATAATAAAATTGGAATTGTTGGCGACTAATGTTTTAAATTAAAAAGGTGACATACTATTTATGCTATTAAAAGTGTATTGGTGACAAGCAGACTCTCACAAAGACCTGCATTCTTCTATAGAATCCCATTATCCAGATACACAGAAAGAAACAGAACAGGGAAAATAGGAACTGTGAAATTAAATATTGACTTCAGAGAGATGCTCAGAGAGAACAAGGGTCCATGAGGGAAAATATAGCTGCACTTTCACATGCTATTTTCCCATTCTTATAGTAGGAAAAATCTCTTTGTGTGGTATTTTTAAAATCTGTTTGACAAATACATTTATGCTACCAGGGAAAATACTTGAAATTAGTTGGTTTAGGGTGTTATTCACACTGTGCAAAGAGACTAACATTTTTCTAGCAGGTTTTTCAGGATCCTTGCTAAAGGCTTCTCTACTGTTTCCAGGGCAATTTAAGCAGCCACTTTATCTCTTTTCTAAGAAATACATTTATGTGTGTGTTACATAGGCAAGCATAAATGGAAAGATTTTTCTTGCAGCTTGTAGAGCACAATACTTGTATTCAAAGTGGCAGACACAAGAGTAAAAATCGTTATTTGTGCTTACTTGTGGTCTTCATTGCCATTGTAACTGAAGGCCCTGCTACAAAGCAAGGCACCACCACTAGAGGTTGCGACAGACAAATAGAGAGGAAAAGCACTTCTTGCAGCACCAAGGCTACAATCAGACAGGAAAACATACAGCAACAAATAAGTGTGTGGGAGGGCAGAGGATGCTGGGGGATGACAAGAGCATAAAAGCTATCCAGAAAATGCATGAGAAGATACACAATCATGTAAGATTGGATTTTATAAATGAATAAAATCAGCTATTCAGCTGCTGCATTCTCTAATTCACTAGATAATTATCTGGCAAAAAACAGCATAGAGGAAAACATTTATAGTTTATTCTAACTTCTCCTGTTTGCATGTCACTGAATACCAGTTCACTACTTCACAAAGTAACAGACAGAAAGAACTCATAAGGAGTCAACAGGAGTTGATTCTGTTGGATCTCACTAGCTGTTTCTTAACCAAAAAAAGTTAGTAGAAAATTTGTAATGGAAGTACACAATAGCCTCAGATGAAAATAAAAGCATTTCTTTGCATTCTTTCTTCCCTAACACCTCTATAAGCTTCATCATGATCTACATGATGCCTTATAACTCCTGAATTTGACCTTTACACACTGCTGTACATCAGCATACACATAGCAAGGCAAGCCAAACTTGCCAGGGGAAGATACACCTTGTCCTGTTTCCCATGAGGCTGGGCCCTACCATGGGGCGGTGAACTACGTAAGCATAAGCAATGTTACCATGATCACGTTTCACAGCTGCTCACTGCAGCTGCAGTTTCTATCTTATTGTACCGCAAAGTGTTTCTACAGAGCATGAAACCACAAAAACTACAGCAGAGTTATCCTGCTAGCATCAATCTCCAGTTCTTGATGCTAGCATACCAAAAATTTCCCCTTCCAACATCCTAATTCTGCAATTTTCTTTTCAGCACACCTAGGTTTTGGCAATTAATAATACTTGGCATACATAAAGATAGATCTCCAAGCAACTAATCTGAACAGGAACAGGAAGGATAAGAGCTCCCACACAGTAACTCCAGACAAAGCACACTCACTATTTCTATACAGAATGACCAGTCAACTGAGACATCCTGAACAGTTATTAAATAAGGAGTATTTTTGTTGGTATGAGGAAGCAAGATCAGGCCTGGTCAACAACTTGTCATCAAAATGTTCCCTCCTTCAATGAAATGAGCATATTTAAATAAGCAGCCACTCATAATGAGTTTATATTCTGATCTTTTAAAATACTTAAAGATGTGCAAGACTATTCTCTCTGAACAGACAGCAGAACTTATGAGATTTTCATGTCATATCAGTTGTGTTTATTCTGCGAAGGGGTGCATTTTCTTTCCTAGATGTCTTGGAAACTTCTTCCAAGAGAAGCTGAAGACTGACAAAGCCATTTATCTGTAAGAAGTTAAAACCACCAAAAATATAAAACCATTTGGAATGAATGGCTTGACTTCATATCTCAGACACTGAGGTACGTTTCATGGATGCAAATGCCTGCATTTTAATTAAAAAATCATGTCAACAATATAATCATCCATGCAGTTAAAATGAAATGATAAATGCTAAAAAATGTGTAAAACCCATAATAATAAATACTGGCAAGAGAATTCAACAGTGCAATAAAATCTTTTTCTTCTTGGATCAACAACAGGAACATAATTTTATACCAAAAATTCTCATAAACAAATGGTCAAATAAAATTTTAAACATTTGGACAGTTAAAGCACACACATGGATGTGCGTGTCCTCCCTCAAAAACACAACTTCTAGGTATCCTCTTGTCTAAACATTGGTAAACAGTAGGGGTATGAATTTAAGGTGATGTGGATCTCTTCTCAGAGCACAGAGTAAACACTTGAATTCTTGAAACAAAAACTTTCTTCTAGATATAATCTCACTAATTTATTACTTTGTCTTCAGGTAAGGAAATGAACTAATAATCCTTCTGTGTTGGTTTTGTTGGTGTTGTTTTTTCTTTCACTAACTGTTCCCAAGTCCTGCCTCCTAGCAGATTAATATTAGGTTACTAGACACAAAGGGGATGCTTTTTCAGTAAACAATGATCTACTCTGTAAAGGCAGAAATATGGGTAAAAGCTTGGCTGAGCTTACAGAGCCACATCCCATCAAGGCCAAACACCTACAATGAACCCTGAAGGATGCCAAACCCTGCAGGAACCAACACAACTCAGATGTCAGAGGAAGTGGGAAGCCACAGTGTCACTGCTTAAAGCTCATAACAATGGTGCCTTTTACAGATTTACTAGGTAAGTATGAGTAGTCATTCGAGTAGTCATTCTGTGATTAAAAAAAAAAAGAAAAAAAAAAGAAATAAATCGTAATAATATTTCTGTTAGGTCAAATCAATGCAGCATCCAACAATGAAAGTATATTGCAAAAATTGGTTCCAAGGTTGTGCCTGAAGAATATTAGTGGCAGCTTTATCATCACACATATTACTATGTTTATGCAACCTTTGAACTGCAGCAAATATACATCAGTAAAATTAGAATATCTCATGTTAGTACAATATTCTGTAGCTCATTTAATAATTTTTTCATAAATATAACATGGAAAATTGTTTAGTGATCTGAGAAAGTATTTTTATTTCTGGACTTTGCCTCTTAATTAAATCAGGACAAAATGTTAAAACATTGTCACACAATAAATATAATCTTTAAAATAATCAGTTCAGGTCTACCAGAGAGTTCTAATATTTATAATTACTTTGTCTCAATCTCAAATTTTTAAGTCTGTTTACATTTAGCTTCTAAAAAGACCAGCTTTGGACAAAAACCAAACTAAAACAAAACAAAAAAAACAAACCCACAATTTTTCACTGTAATAGCTTTGGTGCAAAAATCTACTGATATCCATTTTTGCTTAGTAAAAAAATTCTTAACACTCTATATTGAAATCGCTCCCCAGCACATTTTGGCTGTCATTATGGATAAGCAATATGAAGACTGAAGATTAAAGGCCTGATTGTGCAAACACTGATACATATTCAGGCTTAACCTA